CCATTTTATAAATGAAAAGAACTGCTTCTCATGGTTAATTCATGTGCCAAAGGTCTAAAAGCTATTAAGCTGAAAAGCCAAAATTTGAATCCACATCTCCCTGACTGGGAATCCCATAGTCATTGATGTTAACCCCTGGTCCTCTTCAAATCCCAGGATTCACCTATGTAGTCTATAAACAAGGGGGCTTTCCTATTCAGAAATTTATTTAGTCTTCACAATAACAGAAAAACATCATCATCTTCATCATCTACACTATGCATACCACCAACACTAACACCAACAATACTTCCATTTTACAAATAAAGAATCCAAAGATCAAGTTAAAGTTGTTACTCAAAGTTATGTATCTAGTAAATGATGTCAGGCACTCATGTAATCCAGACCTAGGAACATGAAAATGTGAAGTTCCTTGTAAGAAATGAAGGCTTATTATAATTCTCTAGAAAATACTTATATCTTAAGATGAAATATTTTATTCACTAAAATAATTATTTTTAAAATGCTTTGCTTTTTCTATATTAGAAACAAGCTAAAAATCTAATATTAATAGATCTTTGCTTACTTTTTAAATTTAAGGCCAAAATTATTTAGATGTATGGTTTCTTGGGCCTAGTTTGCACCAAGAAACATTTGCAAATTTAGTATAAGTATTACCTAGTTTGTAGTCTTTCTACAAAGCAGGGAATTTTGTCTAGGTCATTCATATGTCCCTGATGCCTGCAACAGTGTAAAGCATGTGTTTGTTTTGAAATGCAAATAAATTTGGAACAAAAGTTGCTGTAAAGGGTCTGCAAAATCATTCTGGCCTATTCTTTCTAACAGAGAAAGAAACTGAGGAAAAGTTAATTGCTTACATCACAAAGCTGGTTAATAACAAATTCAGAAACAATCTGTTTTACTGAGAATTGATTATGTTTATGATATATATACTAATTAATATATAGAAGTGAATCTGTATTTTATTACAGCTATCCAATATCTATGTAATTTGCTTAATTCATAGCAAAGCACCTTTGGTGATACAAAGGTGACTAATAACTGGGTCATCTTTTAAATATTTTACACTGTAAATGGGAAATCAGAGCTTTAATTCAAGCCACCAAAATGTCTGTGAGAAAGTGATGTGCAGATGTATGGCAGATTCCAGAGGTTTCATGGAGTAAATACTGCTTAGGTAAGGTAGATTAATTCAAAATAGAGGAAACAGACTCATCTTAAGCAAAGAGACTGCTTTCAAAATGTCACCTCTTGAGGAAAAATGAATAGATTAATTTAGCTAAATCATAGCATTGCCAAACACCAACTGATATCTTGGGCCAAAATAAAGAATGTAAAAAAAAGATACTACTGTCCGTACATCAAAACATGTTATCTTAAAATATGTTACTATTAACATCACATCTCTCACTTTCTTATTTGTTTGTTTGCAATGACAGATAAGCAAGCTTAAGAAAAAAATCTTAGTCAGTGAGGTGTTTAGGCTTTTTAAATGTTTATAAATTTAAAAACAGAAGCATTTTTGCTTTCCAAAAATGATGTGTTATTTTAGGGTCCAAGTTGACTTATTTCACTGTTCAATGATGAATTAAAGAGATAATGTTGCATAAAGGTCTCTGGGCTCCTGAGCTCAGAAAACCAGAGCTTAAATTAAACAAGTTAATGGATACAAGAAGGAAGCACAGTGTGTGGCTTTAAATATGCCCCCAATTATTAGTAATTATTTTTATTGTTACAACTGTTGTTACTATAGTAAAATGAAAACGAGTTGATACAAAGCATTATTAGATCATCGTAGAAAGTATTAATTACTACATAGAAATAAACATACAATAAGCAGGCTTGAGGAGATCATTTTCTAAATTACCTGTTTTTCATGTATTTCTATGTAGGGTTTTTCTTTCCTTCCAAATTGATAATTCTTTATTTCTGTCCTGCCTCTAAGATTTTCTAGTTTCCAACTTTTCTGAAATTAATATTTTTTTCTTTAATTAGTAACAGTAACCAAATCCAATGTCTTATTGGACTGAGTTATTGGATTCCACTTCTGTTCCTATTTCTACCATTATAAGCTTCTATTTTTAAGCCCCATGATAAAAAGTATTTCCTTTAGGCCAACTCTTGGGAGACATGATCTTGGCACAGTTATTTTTTTCAAACAAACTAAAAAAGTCTCCTGCATATATTTAAGTTAAAATAAAAACTTCCCCTGGCTCTATTTAGTATCTATAGTACAGAGATGCAGCCACTTAATTTTTGAAATTTTGGTAACCAAACATTAAATGATTTACTAACACAGGAAAGTACTACAGATTTCATGGTATTAATTTTTATTATTAATCATGATTGGCACTATTAAAATAATTCCAACGTATGTTCTCCATTCTTAAATTATCAGGTGGTATAGCCAATGTATACAAATTATGAGGAATAATTAGTGTAAGATTCCTATGATTTGTGGGGGGAAATTTTTTAAATTAATTTCCCAGTGGAGTGAAAACATTATCAAATATATAATTTGGTATACCATGTCCTTTCCTCCTTTAGTGTCTAGGTTACCTCATTCTTTTAATTGATAATATATAAAGTTTTGAGGTGCAATAACACGTCAAGATAATCTCAGGAGCAAGAGATGGTTAGTCAGAGTACATTGAGCCATATTTAGCCTTTATACTGGTCTCAAAACTGTATAGTTTTAAATCAGAATAGGTTCTAGGCCCTATTCTGAACACTTCATCCTTTATACAGGTCTTAATCTGTGCTAGGCCCTATTCTGAATGTATTATCATATACCAAAGAAGAAGCAAGAGTCAAAACAACCAACATGCAGGGACAGAAAAGTAGCAAACAGACAGAAATGGGGTTTGAAGGGAAAGGAATGAAGTCTGGAAGAATAAGATGCACACGAAAAAACAGTCATAGTTAAGCATATGGAATATACTTAGTAAGACTGTTCAAAATCCATGTAAAGAGCTCACAATTTATTAGTTTATTACGTCTAAAGTCACCACAGACAAGTAGTTCAAAATGATATAAACTATATTCCATCTTTACTATATTTTTATTGCTAATTTCACTGGTTGTGGCTCCCCGAAACTAAACCACAGGCTTGGAATAATGCAGCTCCAGCCTTATGCTCCTTTGGTATCATTAAATATATTCCTGGGAGAGAGAGTCTATTGTCAGGTTATAATCTTGCACGTGGAAACCAAATTGTCTCTGGTCAAATCAGGACTTCATCTTACCACTTTCCCATTTGAGCAATGGAGATAATTAATAACACATGCCACATAAGGTTGTTGTGAGGATTAAATGAGATAATCTATGTAATCTGCTTAGAACAGTGCCCAGATAAACAGTAAGGGGTACCAGTAGTGTTAATAACCATGAAGACACTGTAGTCCCTGTCCTCATGGGGCTTGCAGCCTAGAGGGAAAACATTTCTACAGAATTCGTTTAGAAAGAAAGGCACTCAAACTAACCCAACTAAGGCACTCAAAAATATTTGGCAAACAAAATTTCACTAGCCCTACGATGATAAGTAACCAGAGGTAGCCTCATGCTTTTAAATAGAAGAAAACATAAAGTAACCTGTTTAAGATAAATTTTAAAAAAGAAACAAGATTCTTGCTATGACAGGGAGATAGGGGGCATTTATTCAAAAGGCATCCAGAACAATAGTCTTCTAGTAAACTGTTGGGTAAAGGTTTAGATGTAGCAGACCTTTATAATCTGTCATGTAGGAAACCACTTGTATGATCACAAACCAATTTCTTAACTCAATTGAGCCTGTCTTCATAACTTTTTTAAATGAAGGAGTTGAGCAAGGTGATCTCTAAGACATTTTTTTTCATTTAACATATGATATTACATTAATGAATTTGGAAGATTTATCTGGAGGATTGATGTTTCCAAAATTGGTTTTTAAGAATCATAAAAGGCATAAGAAACAAGGAAAGAACAGCATTAAAAGACTGAATTTGTACTCACAGGGTATGAATTTACAGGTAAAGAAAGTGAATATTCAATTTTGGGATTCAGATCATCTAGTTATTGAACTATCAAGGTATTTCTCCAGTACATATGTTTCATATGTGTTTTCCCAGTGGTCTCTTACAATGCATATCATTTAAATAATAAACAACAAAATAATGCATAGCTTGGTTCTTATAACACAGGTATTCTTTATCATGTATCAAATACAGTTCTGAATGTAATTATTAAGTGTTAAGAAAAAGTAATATAAAATAAATTAGAAAGAACATTTACATATGTTACAAAGCATGAAAAAGAAATATATACACAGTCTCTACTGAAAAGGAAAAATGAAAAGGAAAATAATTTTGAACACTTTTCAGAAAGATGTAAGAGAGCACCCATTATAAAGGGAAGCTATTTCTCATCTATGATTAATTTTTCAAATTATGTCTGGTACTAATTCTATCTCTGTTTTAAGTCATATAGGATCAAATGTGAACCTTGAGAGAACAAGCAATTTGAAATCTAAAAAAAAAAAAAAAAAATAGAAAAACAGACACATTTTTTTAGTGGAGTTAAGGTCTTAAACCTAGGCCATATTTGGCATCAGCTTTTAGTCTAATTCATAAAACAATATCCACAGAGATTGCATGCCAGGCAACATTCTATTTTCAGTATTTTTAAAAGTTAACAAAGGAAGATAATCTGAATAATTAGAATGTAGAATAATTAAAAGACCTGTATCATTAAATGATGCTATTTCATTTGTTGCAATATACAACAAAATTCAAATAAAAAAAAAACTTTGAAACATTTTTTAATGAATGACTCTGAAAGAAAGCAATAAGAATATAAATAATTTAGCAAAAGGAAAACTTAGCAAACGTGAAGCATGTTTTCTGGAGGTTAAATTTTCATTCCTGACTGTTATATTAGATATAATAAAGCCTATGCTAACCCTTTTAAGAATATACAAACCAAATCTACTATTCTTGATCAATATTCTGTATAGTTTACCATACCTGTGGGTAGCTGTCAGTCCTTGGCAAAACTGATATATCATAGGTGGCAGCAAAATGGCTTTTTGCTTGTTGTATTTGGCCATAACGTTCCCTTTTTCTCCACTTGGCCCTTCGATTTTGAAACCAAACCTAATTATTTAATAAAAAGTAGAATTTCAGCTAAGGAATATTTGGTAAAGCAAATGTGATGTTAAAAGACATGAAACCAGAAAGGTAAACCCGGTAAAAAAAAAAAAAAATACTTAAAAAGAAATATATGTTAGAAAAGGATATACAGCTTTTACTTTTTCTTGTATTTTGGTGTGGTAAGTGATATGCCCATGAGGCAAAATAATTTAATAAAAAGAGGTAGGAGACTTTTGGCAAATATATCTGATATGTATGAGCCTCTGTTTTCTCATTTAGGAAAAACAAAAAGGAATTAGATGATCTGATCTTGAATACTCCTTACATCTCCACATTGTCATGGATACGCCTCCTTTTAGAGAATGCTGCAAGCCTGGAAGACGTATATACCACAACATAAACCCGGCCAATCTATAAGGAAATTAATATCTGAGTCTATTAAAAAATTACCCTTAAAATATATCAAAAAAGGGAAGACTCTTCTGGATTGTGCTCAGAACTACATAATCTTTAAAAAATTTAATCATAAAGATTATATCTAAATATATGGCAGCAGCAGGAACATCATGATTATCTAGAAATAGGAAAAAATATGAGATTACATACTGTAATAAGTATGACAAGAATTATAGGTAAAATTGAATCATCTAAAGTTGAACTATGGTTACATGAATGTGCTTATTACATAAATTATGCCACTTACTTTCCCTTATGAAAATGCTCAGGTATTTTTACATAATTTCTCTAATTTAAAGCACAGCTAATGGAAATAATAAAATAAATAGGGCAGATAGAATCAAGTGTCAAGAAAGTCTATCAGTTAGTGTGGCCACTACCAAGTCACTAAGCTATCTTCCACAATTCTTCTAATTACGTATTAGAAGTATTTATCCTAAGAACCATCTTCCTCAGCAGGTGGGATATTCATTAATTCATACTTGCAATGCTCCAAGATCTTCATTTTAATATTAAAGGGAGATGCAGAAGGTTATATTCAATACGTATATTTTGACATTTTTAAGTGAACATTATAGGAGTAGCTTTTGGGAATTTCTTTAGTCTTCACACAACTACGTTCAGAACATAAGATGTTTAAGAAAAAAGCTAGGAATCAAATATAAAAAATGCATGTCGTAGAAGCCTTTTGTTGAAGTTTACTTGAAATTTTCACTCTTTTTCATACTCAATTCTAATCTGTATATCTTTACCTTCACAATTAGGGCATCATATTAATACTGAGTTTAATTTTTAAGTACACATTACAAATTTAACATGGCACTTTGAAGAGTTTTCAGCAATTAAAGTAAGCCAGAGAGCTACATGTTCATTATAGTTACAGTGCATTGCTGAAAAATGCGTATTATCCATTATGCCCAAGGCTTGAAGACATCAACAACAAAACAATTGACAAAAAGACCTTGACAATTTCCTTAACATGGGTACCAATTACCACTCTTATGTGCAAAGCAGGAAAGAAAATGACCTGAGTAAATTAAGTTCAGGTTGGCTCTCTGTGCATGTTCTTAGACAAAAATTAATCAAGACTTAGTGAATGTTAAAGGGAAAAGATGCATTTTGTACAGTTGATCACTCTGTGTGCAAACATATTTGTCTATAGTTAAAAGTATAACTAATTTAAATATAGACAAAGAAAACATCTCAAACATACAGGGTGAGTGTTAATACTTGACAATACTAAAATTCTTTGTTAGCATGAACTTTCTACATATTTACTACCTGAACCGAGATAAAGTAACCATTTACTTCCACAAACTTAAGTAAAAATCTGCTCCTTGTTATACGTGCACCACCAGATGTTGTCTCTAATGATGTAAGAGGCGTACAATGGCTTAATCGTAAGAAGAAATACTGTCACTTGATTTAGAATAAAAATTTTCACTATTTTATTCATTTCTCCATTTTAGCAGTTTATGAGAATTGCAAAAAATCAATACTTTCATAGAGAAGTCAAAACACACAAAGACAAAGGCCATTATCCTCAATTATTGTTGCATTTTAAACTCTTTCTTATTACTTGGAAACTAGTAAAATATAGTTTAAGAATATCAAATGTAGTCAAAATAAAGTACTCCTAAAAGGTAAAATTTTACCTGGTATAATTTTTCTTTCTCAAACCATTTTTTTTAATTAAGCATATTGGATCATCCAATTTAATAAATAGAATATATTTTATGAATATAATTGAGTGTATGCAAAAATTTACTTCAAAGCCATTACTTTTATTGCCTATGCAAAATTCATATAATTTATCTAGACTTTAAAAATTATAATGGAATAGCACATACTGACAACTACTAGAACTAGAAAATGTAAATGAACTATTTGATTTTTTAAAAATTATCCATAGTGAAAACATTTAATGGTATATGTAACAATTGGGAGTTCATGGGATTGTTTCTTTTTTTCCTTTTATTATGCCTCCAACCTTAGTAAAATTATAAATGTATGGCCTACTATACAAATAATTTACAAATACCTGATATGTAACTTAAAAAAGAACCTCAATGGCTAATAAAACAGAAAAACAAATAAATATATCAATTACAAAATATGCATGATTCTGTTTTACACCCATTAAAAACTGCTTTTTAAAAATCAGAGATATATGATCACATTGCTATGTTTGAATGATTGTTAATTTTTATGTCTATGTAATAACTCAAGTGTTCTTTTATTTACATTTTATGTGAGTTGTCAAAACCTTTGCAATTAAAACAATAATTTTAGTGGACATACATTCATATATATATATATTACACTGTTCCTCATCTTGAGCTAGGGAATCAGTTTGTTTCTTTGTGGCAAAATGCACTTATTCAATTATTCTAACACCATGTATTTTCCTGCCCCATTCATCAAGGCATCTCTTTGGCTCCTACCTGGACCCTGGCCTCCGTGAGCTCTGTCCTCAGAGCAAGCTGTTCTCTGACATATACATCCGGATAATGAGTTTTCTGAAAGACCTTCTCCAGTTCCTCCAGCTGCAAACTGGTAAAGGTGGTTCGGTGTCTTCGCTTCTTACTGCTGGATACATTGCTGTCACATTTATCCCCAAGTTCATCCAGCTCTCCTTTCTCTTGCATCCCTTTCACGGGAGACATTCGGAGACTGTTACAGTTGTCCATAGCTCTATTCAGTTCGGTGTGAAGGGGCTGTCCTTCTACTTTAGTGATCCCATAGTTGACTGCACTCAGAGGGGAAAAAAACAACAGTTCTCAGGATTGTGAAACACATCTCAATTAAATCAGTAAGTAGAAGTAATTGAGAGTTTCAAGAAATTGGACTATTTTACAGGATTTATATATTAATGAACATATTTTTTAATCTAAATTAACTTACTCAAATTAAAAAATAATCTAGGTGTTTCATGAAAAATCCTAAGTGTTCATGAATTTTGAAAACGGAAGCAAATTTAATGTCAAATATTTTTTCACAGTAGATAAAATCAAGTTACTAATGTGTCTCAGGAAAATTATTTAAGATTAAATAATACCTTTGCACTGATATCCAAAAGTTATTGTCCCCCTCCACATAAAATGTACTGATGATAGACTTAAGATGTGGTATTATTTCCACTAAATTTTGAATATTTCAAGTTTATATCGTTGTCTGCATTTACACTTTTTCTTCAAAAAGTGATCTACTAAATTGACAAAATACATTTCATGTCAAGTGTTGAAAAGGCTCTTTATAGGAAATTAGATTCAACCAGCGTTTTTTACCTAAAAACTTATGAAGCTTTTTAAAAAATTTTCATATTTCTGCTTAGCTCGTGAAATATGTTTTAGGCTTGAAAGTTTTACTTTTTTCTCTGTTGAAGCACATAAATTAAAACCTATTAAAACATTATGGAAGATGGCATCTAGCATTCTGTTAAGGGGTTTTTAATTTCAGTGATTTTCTTCAGATTTTATTGCATGCTTGCAGTATGATATAAAACAAAAATATATCATATAATGCCACACACCCACAAATGCAATGGAGGCACATCACGAAATGGGAAGCACTTTTTAAAAAGTAAAGTCAATCCAGCCAGAATAATAATTTCCAATAGATGATCATACTTCTTTTCATTTGTTTCTTTTTTAAAATTAACACCATAATGCATTTTAATAATTCTTTTCATCGTTATACAAATATATTCAACTTTAATGCGCATATAACTTAAATAGCTAATAATTGAATACTGTGCATTTCAATGTCACTAACGGAGTAACTCTCAAAAATATTCTCATTACAAAAAATGTCAAATATTTGAGGTGATGGCCAAGTTAATTAGCTTAATTTAATCATTCCACATTGTATTCAAAAAAGTAACATTACTTTGTACCCAATAAATATATACAACTATAAGTCTTCAATATATAACAATTCTTAAAAATGAATGGTTTTCAGGCAAAGGAAGATGTGATGTTAAACTAAATATAAAGAAGAGCCGTGACTGATTAACAATACGGTTTTGTCTCCTTGGGCAAAGTTAAATCGGGAACTGCAGCAATTAGGGATGGGGGAGGGGAAGCAGTGGAGAGGCTAAAGGCATCTCAAGAGAAACATAGGTTCTCTCCTAAATTAAGTGGATGGCTGCCTATGTTCATCTTCTCTGTTATAAAGCATCTTAACAGTGTGATATTCGTTAAATGTTGATAACGCATCAAAAATCGACCTATGTCTCTTATTTCGGATTCCAGACTATTTATAATAAAATACTATGATCAAGTCCATCCAGAGTGAATACAAAACATTGCAAAATCATTAAAGAAAGACCTGTCAATTCAAATAACTTTACGCATGCAGCTAAGAATTCCACAAACACATATACCAGGTCTGAAACGCAGCCAGAAAACCAACTACTCAGTGTAAGAATAATGAAAAGCATTTGCTCGCATCTTTCTAAATAAATGACTGAAACGACTTAGCTGATTTTTTTTTTTTTATCATTTGCGCGTTTATTTTTTACTTACCCTTAGTCAAAACTTATTTGGTGCGTTAAATGAAATTAATTAAATATGAGATTAAAAAAAAAAAAAAAAAACTTGTGTTCAAAATATTTAGAAAATGAGCCTCTACAAGCCAGTGTCTTGTCAGATTTTGAATCTCCATAAAATAGGGGACAGGGGGCTTGTTGTAAATATTTCACACTTAATTCGTTTGTTATTTTAAAGCAACCCGCCCTTTACAGCTTAACTGTGGAATATATACAATGATAAGGAAAAATTCTCTTGGAATTGTAAACGTGCTTTAGCTGTCGCGTTCTAAAATAATAGATTCGTATTAGGTTACAAGATAGAAAAGATAGATGGTTTGTTTTGATAACACTTTGACTTGGAGATAGATTCAAAGTTGAAGATTTCAGCCAGAAGCATTCCGAAGACTCCTTAGCTGACTTTTAATGTGAAGTCATAAAAACAGAAAACGTAGAATCTGAGAATGAGTGATAAGACCAGAGATGCTTTGCCCGAAGCTATTTAAAGTGCCTCGGTCTGCAACAAAAATTTAACGCGTGTTGTATTGCAAAGGCAAAGAAGCAGAAATTACAAATTCACACACGCTAGAAATCTAGGGATCCTCCAACGTTGAAAAAACATCACCACGTCTTGGAAAGTTAAAAAGATTTGTTTTTACCTAAAGGAGCTCAAAGGGTTTTCTTTTTTGTTTTGTTTGTTTTTCTGACTCGTGACGACAGTGACGTACTCTAACGAGCTGTGATCGATTTCAGTTCCTCCCGCCCGGACAGCGAGGCGGGCTCGCAGAGGAAGCATTCTGTCTTGACTCAATTACGCTCTATTCAGCGCCCTATCAGTTTACTCCAGGAGCCAGTATTACAGAGGGACTCAGGGATCCCTAGGCGACCAGACCCTACAGCGAAAGAAGAATCGCTCCGAGGCAACCCGGTGCCGGATCTCTCCCTCCCTCCACCCCCCGCCCCCAAAGGCTGCTGCTGCAGTAACACCGCTCGCAGAGCGCGCACCCTTCCACGGCCTTCCTCCTCTGCCCTCCAGCTCCCTGGCTCCCACTTTTCCCCTTGCTCCCTCGCTGCCGGATCTGACCGATCCCGCATTTCGGATTGCGGAAAAAGCTGTGGCAGTTGTAGCTGGGGCGCTAGGGACTCACCGCTGCTGTCCTGACAGGGCGAGGTCCTCTCCAAGCGCACGTGATGCTCGGCGCGAGGCAGGGGTCCGAAGGCCTGCACGCATTTGCTTGCAGACGCTTTGCTGTAAAAGGACTCATTGTCCAGCGTCTCCATAACGTGCTCCAGCGGACCTCCTGCGCCCATGTAAAAGTCACTGTTTTTACTCGGAGGGCTCTTGAGGGCAAATTTCTCGCTCAGAAACTCCATAATCCTGGAAGGCTGTCGCGTAGCTCCTGGGGCGCAGAAGCTGGAGAGCGCTGGGGGAGGGAGCCAGTGGGCGGGAGGAGGGAGGGCCAGAGAGGAGGGAAGGAAAAGCGAGCGCTGAGGCGCCGGGAGCTGCCCTGCTCCGGGCCCTTTAATACGTCCCGGCTGGAAAGGGAGCACCCGAAGTTGCTTTTATATCTTGAAACTCAGCTGGGCTCCTCGGGCAACCTCCCAGTTCTAATGAATATGAAAATAGGCAGGCAACTAACTCCACCCCGGGTTCCCCCTCCGCCCCCACCCCACCCCCATTTTCCCCACTTACCCGGGCAGGGCGCGTCCAGGCCTAGGATAGACAGACAGCTCCATTTCAGAAATGCCAGGAGAGACGACCCCCGACACACAGATACTTTGCCGCCGTGACAGTGGACTGGCATTTCGGAAGATCTTGGTGAGATCGCAAAGCAGTTAAACCTCCACTCCCCGCTGTCTGCGCCTTCCTGAGACACCCGTCCCCACCCCGCCCCCACGCCGGCCACTCACTATCAGAAAGATTTAGAGGCGTCTTAAGAACTTGAAAGGAAGTATTGCTCTAAAGGGCTTTTATTTCATCCGTAAATCGTTTACGTGGAAGATCCACATTAATCCGAAGCCCAAGAAACCAGATGCATTGGCAGTTATGAATCGCAGCGGCAGTGGTAGAGGGGCGGCTTCGGCTTCTAACCCGGAGGATCTCGGCGTCCGGGCGCGCTGGGCCCTTTACGAGGCCGTGGTCTTTTCTTTTTCTCTGGAATGCGGCGGCTTGTGGACGCGGTGGCGATGGGTGGGAGAGAGAAGCCAAGCAAGAGGCAATGAAGCTATTATACCAATACCAACCAATTCCCTACCCTCTTTCCCACCCTTCCCTTAGGTCTAGGATTTTATCATTAGACCCAAATTGTTTTAAGAAAATCCGTTAAGATAAATGCCTTTGAAGGGCTTTTACTCTAATGCCAAAGGGAGGCTTATTACAAAAATGGGTTTATGAAGAAGAGGAGGAAGCTCTGCATAGTTTCACAGAAATTACTTTTAAAGAGTCGCTTTGGAGTTACTCCGAAAAGCGCTCTGGGAGTGGTGCACGCGCGGAGCTGGGCGCATTCGCGGCGCGGCTAGGCGCCCTGGGCGCTGGCAGGTCCAAGGCCTTCATTTCCGCCGGAGGGGATGGTAGGGCGAGCAGGACAGCACTGCTAGATTGAAAGCCCTTCTGTGTGACTTTCGGCACGACTCTGGCTTCCTAGGAGCCCGCCACGTCTGGGGCAAATGCGTTCGCTGCCCTGGGCACAAAAACGCATTTACATCGGGCACCTTAAGCTAGCAGATTTGGTGAAAATAAACCCCACAGGTTGTAGATCAGGTAGGGCTCTGCTGCCGCGCCCTGACACAGCCTTTGTCAACACTGGCACCCGCGGCGGCTGTGGCATGTGCCCAGGCAAGCCTGGCAATTATGGTGAGGCTTCGGGTAGGCCGAGCAGCCCGGACTCTAAGGATGGCGAGGCCAAGCCCAGCTGTGGTGGGCATGCTGATGGGTTTGAGAGTCCCACCTTCTGCGAGGATGTTGGCTGACCCACGCCTCTCTAGTGAGAACTTCTTGGAGGCCTGACCAGGCCTCAGCCAGAGAGCAACAATCAGGCAGCGCTGTGTACCCCAGAGCCGCTTCTTAGTATTGCCCGAAAGGCGGGGTCCGCCCTAAGCGCCCAGATCCCGGGCGAACCAGAGCAGATCGGGGGATAGCAGCAGCCTTGGTCTCCCGGCCCGGGTCCAACCCAGACTGTTGTCTGGAGGAGGCGCACAAGCTTAGTTCACCTGGAGCCTCGCTCAGTGTGGCGCTGAGCGCGCACTCAGATTCAGGCGAATGGCCTCTGTTCCTGGGATAACTAGCTTCTGCTGTATTATTATTACTCTCTCAGGCGAAGTGCTGCCAGCAACAACTGCAGATTGTTAAATTTCAGAGGAGCAAGGTCAAAGAAAAGCACTGAGGACTGCGCTTCATCATGAAGCCAGGCTTCGTCAGGAACTCGAAACCAGACAACCTCGCATTCTGAGGCCAGACCTAGGTTTCCCTAGGTCTGTGTCAGGTGTCTGAAGAAGCCTTTGAAACGCTCTCCATAAAGTGTCCTGTATCATTCCGTCCTTGCGTGAGCAGGAGCCTCAGCTCTACGGTTTTTGTTTTGTTTTGTTTTGTTTGTTTTTTGTTTGTTTGTTTTTTGGACACTTTCTAGCTGGCTCCCCGGCAGCCTTGTGGAAACCTTGAGTGTTGAGTTACTCACTCCTGTTCGGTTGGCCATTTTTGATTCTTTACTATCCCCTTTGGTGCCTTCTTATCTTCAGGTATTCTGAAAGTCTTTCTCTAATAAACACAGGGAAACAAAAGAAAATTGTCGTTTAACATGTTTTTCAAAAGTTCCCAGCAGCAATTCCTACTGCTGACTTGAGGAAATATACAAACTAGCTATAAACCAAGATATCTCGTAGAGCTCTGTCAGTTTGTTTATAAATATATATCTTAAGAGCCCCAAATTTCCGGAAAAACAATCGGTGTCTTTTAAATGAAAGACATATGATGCAAGTTTTAGGGTACTAGTATGCCAATAAAGGTCCAACTCAGAGAGGAAACTAAAGGGTAGCTGAGGACAAGAGCTGTCTAGTAAACCCCTTTCTACCCCATTACCCAAATGCACTTTGATGGTAGTGATTGGAGGGATGGGGTGTAATGTGTCACCAAACCCACATAATATTCCTGGAGCTTCCTGGAAACGCAAATATACTGCACGGAATCCCGTGTGTTTTGTGACATGTAACCACATGTGCCCATAACATAGGGAACAGCTAATGGCAAACTCCCATAACGAATGTTTTAATCTGCAGTTTTTGGCAAGAAGCTGGGTATTTGGTTGCCAACAGCTGCATTACATGAATTTTGCGAGGTTGAGATGGTGTTTATGGTTATGACACAGCTCTAGAGATAGGGGCATTACCAATACATTGAAAATAATACTAATTAAAACAATAATAATTCAATAATTTCTAAAAGTCACAAGAAGGGAGAAGAAATTAGATTGAAGGCTGTTTCACTTTCCCTGCTATCTACCTGGGCTTTCTCTACCGATGCTCTGAGGATAACCTTCTTGGAAATTGACCATAGCACTTTGATAAATGTTTTCAGCCTTCCAGATCCAGCTTTGCTCCTACAGTATGCTTTAAAAAACCCTCCTCGATTCCAACAAGTCAGCTTGGCCCAGGCCCCAGGGGCAAGTGTTCTGAGGGGTAATCAGCTGGATATATATCTATATATATAATATAGATATAGATATATGTATATATGGGTTTATTGTCAGGTTCTAGTTGGGGATTTATCTTCTGAGGGCTCAGCCTATCAACCCCAGGTGTCAGTTCTCTTTGCCCACCAATTTTGCCTTTGAGAGTATTGTTCATCTCTTTCCATATTCAGGATATAAACCCAGGATTCAGCCCTCCTTCTTTGATGTCAGTCAAGACATCTAACTAGAATAAGCTGCTGTGCATCCTTTTCTGATTTGCTTTCTTCAGATCTCAGCTTTCCTGATGGGCACCAAGGCTTGCAGGAAGTGGTGGGATGAGAGAGGGGGTAGGAGAGTAACAGAGGTGGGGAGTAATTGATTTCTTTTCAAGCCTAAAAAAATGTAAGACATCCTAGGATTCCAGCACTTTTGGATCTTCACTGTGTGGTGATGCTTCTCCACTTCTTCTTGATGGGGATGAGGAGTAGTGAGTGCCTGCTGGTGAGGTGTGGGGTTGGGATCGGAAGAAATAATGAGGGTTAACAAGACTATTACAGATTCAAGTCTCAGCCTCTCAGAAAAACTTTCTCCTCTAGTAATTGAGATGTGTTGGAGCAAACTAGATAATTCCTCTGGCACCAAGGGATCCTAACAGAGGGGGAGAAAGCTATTTTGTGAAGATAAAAATGACTGATGCTACCATTTGAAGTGACATCTAACATTATTCCTTGCCCAAATAGTGATTTGGGATATTTTATAAAAGCTTTCTTTAATTCCCATTTAGAGCCTAGAATTAAAATAACGGAAGAAGTTAAAATCATTAGAAAGTCCATTGAAATGACTATTTGACACTCCCTCACCCCCAAAGTAGTGCTTTATTAGAAAGTAAAATTCAGATAAAGGATTCTCAGATTAAGGCTCATTTAAAAAGAAAAAAAGAAGAAGAAAAAAAAACCTCACAAACTAAAAGCAGCTTTTAAAGCTCCTCTTCCCTTTATGAATATGTTTTGGGAAATGAAAAATATATATGTATGCATCATTAAAGAGGTGGTAGAAGAAATGCATAGACTGCTCCAGTTTCTTCTGATTTCAACTTATTGAGAGAAACGTCACACTTACATACTAATAGTGAGAATGTCAAGCTAGAATTGCTAAGATTCTTAGCACTTCCTTTTTGCAGTGAGAGTTTGAGGTTTATTGTAAGTAGAGCAAGGGAAAAAATGCGTGCTGAATCAGGCGAACTATGCCAAATGTAAAAAAGCAATGGTCTGAAGAGGGGAGGAGCTGGTGAAGAGAAACTTTCATGAAAAGTTTCTAAAATAATTGAATGTCATGTAGCATGGCAAGATGCCAGGCGACCTCGTGTTTGTGTGTGCTGTGCTGCTGTTTTCCTTCCCTGGCTTCGTCTTCTGCCTTCCCACAGATCTGCAGACATAACAGATACTGAAATATATTTTGCACCAAAGCAGCTCAAGAGGTTTTCATCAAAATAAAAATATGCTCACACACAAGGATATATTTAGGATTTTATTTAAAATATATGCCCAATCCACCATCATCTGTTCCAAAAAACACACCTACAGACCAAAGTGTAATTTTGTGACATTTTTGAAGTTTCTGCCTTTAAAAAAACAATTACACAGATGTTAATCGATCTTGTAAATCTTTAAACTATGCTGCTGCGAACCTGTCCAGTATAATGAATTAAGTTTTTACACTGATTGTAATAATAGTATTAAATGTTTTGGTGTTTCAGAAACTTGTTTTTTTTCAAAAAGTGGTGCTTGTTTCTGAGTATCAATGTGTTTTAATAATAGTTTTTCACAAAGTTGTCTTTTTCTTAAAAGAGAGAGAAATAA